CGGCTTTCCAGGTACAGGTGTTCCTAATACCGGAGAATTGAGAAGGTACTTTTTGATGCTATTAAAAGCATTTTGGCAAGATTGGTCCCAGATGAATAGGGCGTCTTTCTTCATGAGTCGGTTAAAAGGCTGACAATGGCCAGCCAAATTTGAGATGAACCTATGAATGAACGCAAGTTGACCTTGTAAACTTCGAAGCTCTTGTAAATTCTTTGGTGGCGACATCTTTTGAATGGCCTCCACTTTATTAGGATCAATCTCAATACCATAATGACGTACAACGTATCCCAGGAATTTCCCTGAAGTCACACCAAATGCACATTTAACAGGATTCATTTTGAGTTAAAATTTTCGGAGGCGATTAAAAACTGTACGTAGATCTTGTAAATGATTCCTTCGTTCTTTCGTCTTAACCACCAAATCATCAACATAACATTCAACAATCATGTAGAATATGTCGTCAAAGATTCTTTGTATGACGCGCTGGTATGTTGCTCCTGCATTTTTGAGTCCGAAGGGTATAATTTTATAGCAATATATGCCTTTAGGAGTGCAAAAGGCAGTTAGTTCCTCATCTTTCGAAGTCATTCTTATCTGATTGTACCCGGAGTAACAATCCTTGAATGAGAGAGCTTCATGCCCTGTGGTTGCATCTACAGTGAGTTCGGGGATGGGAAATGGAAAATCATTTTTTGGGCATGCCTCATTTAAATCACGAAAATCCATATAAATTCGAATCTGTCCATTTTTCTTCTTCACTTGAACAATGCTCAAAATTCATGTTGGATATTTGACCTCACGAATGAACCCTACTTCAATCAATTTGTTAAGTTCTTCCTTTATCCTCGGAACTAGCTCTGGACGGAAGAAACGTTGAGACTGCTTAATCGGACGTGTCCCATGTTTGACAGCAAGATTGTGCACTGTAATTTTAGGATCAAGATCGGGCATCTCTTTGTATGTCCAAGCAAAGACATCCTTGTACTCAGATAACAATTGAAAGTAATCATTTTATTCTAAGGGGCTTAGGAATGCACTAATGAAAACTGGTCTGGGTTGATCATCAGTTCCTAAGTTGATTTCTTTGAGTTGATAAACGGTAGCCTGCCCCCCGTCTTCTAGTGTTACTGGTGCTTTCTCGATGTCATCTGGTTGTTCAGCGTTAGGTTCCTCTTCAATAGTGATGTGGTATGAAGTAACACAAGATGATTCGCCAATGTCTTCCACTTCTTTTGCTTGATTAGTGAATACAATGGTTCGCCTTCTAGCTTTTAATGTAACATCATTGGTGACATCTACCTCTGTCTTACGTTTCATTCGCGAGGGCACTAGGCTCTGAACTTCATTATTGTTCACCACGTCAATGCTTATTTCCTCTGACTTCCCACTCTTGCTACTTTTTAGCGGTGCATCATTGATAGTACCAATTCGAGAAAATACTGACTTTCGAGGTTGAGGTTGTGGAGATTTTCTTCTTTGGTCATTAACGCTCATTCTGTTAAAAACAGAGGCACGAGGTAAACTACTGACATGAGAACTTGAAACATTTGATTCTTGGCTTGACAACCTGTTAAATACAGATATTCGATCACATGGAGCTCCAATACGGTCGAAGACCGATTTTTGATTTATAGTCTGTTGATCTTATTCATCTGCAACTTCTTTAAACCCAATGTAAAAAGTGTTCGACTTCTTATCCTTTTTTATGATGTGAATTCGAAGTGGCTCAAAAGGTACGAAACCGATACCAGACTTGGGTGGAATGATTTTATGCCCTTGATCTTTCAACTTCTTCTGTGTCTCATCGAGGCCATGCATTTTCTCACTGGTGACCTCTGAATTCAGTTTTCCAAGGTTTGCAGGATTTGTAAAATCATACCCTGACTTAGCCATGAGTTGGTATACTTTAGGATCGAATCCTTCATCAGTCCTTTGTTTTGGAAGTGATCCATGATTGACCAAAGATTGAGAAATCCGCATGAACCCTTTTAACGGAGGCTTGGAAGGCGAAGACTTTTGAATCTTGGTGAGAGGAAGAGTTAACTCTCCTTTCAGCTTTTGCATATCTTCTTTCTCTTTGATTTGTGACATTTTCAATTTAAATTCCTTGGTTTCAAGTATCTCAATGACTGGTGACTGCCCTTCTTGTTGTTGAGATTTTGGAACATACTTTAAAATAGGTTTCGTTGATGTGCTTTTATCTAGACCCCTCTTGTTTTAGCTACCTTTACAATGTCTGTCACTGAAACATCTAATGGATCACTTAACGCTTCTTTTGTTTTTGTAGATTGAACCTCTTGTGTAGATGGATGGCTTGGGATGGGCACTTCCGAAGGTGTATCAGGATCGATATAGAACTTGGCATCGGCAAAATGAGATTCTGCTTCTGTAAATGGTATATGGTCCGCCACAACTGTTTGTATGTCATTCTTATAGAATTTGAAGCACTGATGAAGAGTCGATGGAATGACACCATTACTATGTATCTTAGGCCTTCCTAACAACAAATTGTAGGACGTTTTTGCATCAATAACATGGAATAAGGTTTCAGCTCGGAGCTCGCCAATTAGTTTTGCTCGAATCATGCCAATAGCTCTCTGTCCTCCTTGGTTAAAACCTTAAATAATAAGACGGCTACGAGATAACTCGTCGACTGTGATGCCGAGATTTTTCATTATAAATTTTGGCATGAGATTCACCGCTGATCCACCATCAACAAGAATTCGAGTAACTCTTTGTTCCTTTATGTAATCGAAAATGAAAAGAGGACAATTATGCGGCTTCGAACCCAACTGAAGATCTTTGTCAGTGAAAATAATTGGTGCATAACATGAATCTAGCATAGCTCCAACTATTTCATCATCATCAGACTTTTCAATGATGGCAGCGTCCTTTGTATGATTCTACACAGTCTGGGCTTCATCTTGATCCTTGCTATTCTCACCATCAGGGCCCGTTTTAATTGAAACTATGTAAGCTGTCACAACTTCGTCATCTAGATATCCTTCTGGAAAGAACTCTTGCAAAGTAATAGGCTTTTGGATCCTTTGGCTTATAGAGGCGTGTTTGGTTGACTGTGTCTTCTTGACCCATTTTTTATTATGGCCAGATTGCTTATGGCGATATTAAAGTTTCTTCTTCCTTTGCCCCTTGTCAGAATAACTAGTCTGAAAAATGTCAGCTCGTTGCTTCTGTAGTTTCTTTCTTGTCACCAAAGTCCATCCTTCTTCATCATCCTGAGGAAAGACCCTTCCAAAGGTTGAAATGTCAAGTGCACTCCCTTTGCCAAGAGAAATGGGGATTGGTTCCAATGAGCCAAACTGGATGGTTGTGCAATACATCTCAGAAGTTGAAGGTTGAGAACGAGCACTCCCCACGACAGAGGTTGTCACAGTAGCAATAATATGATTTGAAGTTACAACTTTGTCCGTGTCCAACAAGATTTTTCCTTATTTTGCCAGATTCATCACCACCTCCTTGAAGATAAAACACTTCTCAATTGGATGATTGATAATACGATGGTATTTGCTGTATTTTGGATCGTTGACACGTCTCATCTCTTGAGGGCGTTTGTATTCAAGGAGTTCTATAACTTTACTTTTGAGTAAACATTCCAAGATGCCAGGGACATCGGAATCAGGGAAGGGGTATTCCTTCTTCTCTAACTCCTTTAGCGTAGGACGCTACCTTTCCTTCTCTTGAAACTGGCGAGGCTTTTTATCATCCTTCTTATCATCTTTAACAGATATCTTGATTGGGGTGGTTAAGACAGCCATAGAATCTTTGGCAGCAGTCTTTAACGACTTATCGCCCTTCTTCTAGTCTTTCTTATCCTTGCGTGGTTCTATGGCCACTGGACTTTTGCCTTCATGGGATTTCAGGTTGATCTCCATATCATGGGTATGCGTAGCCAATTTTTCAAATGTGTGAGGTTTTATACCTTGCAGAATGTAAAGAAGGCCCCAATGCATTCCCTGCATACACATCTCTATAGCAGAGATTTCTGACAATCGGTCCTTGCAGTCAAGACTGAGTGCTCTCCACCGATTAATGTAGTCAATTATAGGCTCATCCTTCCATTGCTTGGTGTTAGTCAACTCTATCATACTAACAGTACGACGAGTGCTATAGAACCTGTTCAAGAATTCTCATTCCATTTGGTCCCAACTATCAATTGACTCTGACTTTAAGTCGGTGTACCACTCAAACACGTTTCCTTTAAGGGAGTGGACAAACTGTTTAACTAGTAAGGCCCCCTCTGTTCCGGCATTGTTACAACTCTCGACAAAATGGGTAATGTGTTGCTTGGGGTTACCTTTTCCGTCAAATTGCTGAATCTTCGAAGGTTGGTATCCTACATACATCCTCATACTGTCGATTCTCCTTGTATAGGGCTTTGAGTACATGAGAGTGCTTTGTGAGACGCCTCCATATTGGGCTCAGATTGTATTCGTTATCATATCTTGCAATTGTGCGATAGATAATGAAGAGACTGAAGAAGCATGATTGGTTTGACTAGCTACCTGTTCTGTCACCGGCATCTGGTTTTGACTAACCACCTGTTTTGTCACCGGCGTCTGTTTGGGGTCCTCCACGCGAGTACCTTGTGCGGTAGAATTAAGATTCTTCGTCGGCATTGCTGTGGAAGATGTAGGATTCCTAAATGGTGGTGGTGTGAAAGTTGCACAATTCCCAGTTGACGGTGCTGTGGAAGATGTAGGATGCCCAGATTGTACTGGTGATTCACTGAAGGTCTGAACTTCCAATTTGTTCATCAGCGTAGCAATTTGTAAGTCCTTCTCTTCAACAGTCTTTGTGAGGTTCTCAATGGCACGAGACATAGTTGCTAGTTGTTCCTCCACCATGGCAGCTCCAGTTATCATAGCAGCGACCACATCTGAGTATGATAGGCCTTGAGAGTCAACGTTTCTTGAAGTGATTGAATACTCCGAAGTCTGACGTGGTGACTCTGGGGGTGAACCGACACTAGAGCGAGCATCATGGATGGAATGAGGTAAATCTGCTGGTGGCGGAATCTCCTCTAGAACAACGTCAGGGTTCTTGACATGTTGGGTTTTCACGTTTGCCATTTGCAGGATTGGTTTTCACTAAGTCTTGTTGATGTTTGGATAAAGCCATCGCCTGCGACTTGCTACGTGTCACAAGGCCCGCCAAGGTACTTCCATTACTTGATTTGGCCTTCGTGCCACTTTTCATGGTGGCTTTGGCGTCGACCTTTGTGGTAGCGATGTTCTTTTAGGCTTTTTTGTCTGTCTGAGTCTTAGGGGGAGCCATAGAGTCGGATAGAGAAAAACTTACTGATAGGAGAAAGAGATGAAAGGCAAAGGATGTCCCACCGGGCGTGCCAGAAATTTGTACACACAAATTTTGTAAGTCTGCAATAGAAACAAAATAGGGAACAAATAATATAATTTTATTAATTTGAGAAATTGAGGTACAATCCTCTGTAATATTCTTTACAAAAGAAAGAATTGGTCCTCTGATTAAATCTCCGTTTTTATTGGTTGGTTGGATCCAAGGGCTGCACAGGCTTGATCTTGAATCACCGTGAAATTTGATAAAGAACAGCACGTCTTTGGCTGTGCTTGTTGTTGATCACCGTGGAATTTGACGAAGAACGACACGATTTGATGTGCATGGTGTTCTTCGCTTTTAGGTTTGGATGTTAGGGATGAAAGTTTCTGTATTTCTCTCTGGAATTCTAGATTTCTAAATTCTCACTTTGTGTCCCCTTCTCCTTTCCTCCAGGCCTCTATTTATAAGCTTCTTGGATCCATAGGATGATGACACGTGTCCTCTCTGATAAGGAAAATATCATAACTGGGCCGGGCCGGATATATTATGATAATTATCCTTAAAAATAATTATTCCAAATATATTTTATTAGGAATAATTATTCTTTTTATTTAATCATCTAGACTGGGCTTAATTAAATAATTTAAGTAGACCAAACTTGGGCCAATTAAATAACTTAATTAAACATTAGACTCATATTTAATGGGCCCATTTGTCCAAATCAAAGTCCACTAAAATTTTAGTGTCTACACTTAGCATCGAGCAATGGATTAATATTATGCTGTAAATCCCAGTACTATGTATGCAACCCCCTCACATAGCATTGAGTTGAGCTTCCTCCACCACCCACTTGGCAAGAATATTCGGTTCTCTTTGGATTTGTTTGCAAACCATCTCATTCTTTTGATTGCACCAGTAGCTTCAGAGTGGTTCGAATCCACAAAAGACAAATCCAAGACACTACTAATCTTGAATTGGAGATATTCTCTTCAGACTCATGGAAATGGACACAAACCATTGTATCGACTAAGGAACAGAAACCATTATACTTTTCTCCTATAGTTTCTTGCAACGGAATACTCTACTGGACGTACGTTGATCGTGCCAATATTTTCGCCTATGATCCATTCACCAACACTGATCATTTTCGTATCATAACACAGCCCAAGGACAAGGATAAGTATCACGGTGTCAAACATAGCTTAGGAAAGCGGCATGGCATCCTCAGCTTCACTCAATGTTATGCTTCCACCCTCAGCATTTGGGAACTCAAGGACTATAGTGGGCTTGAATGGTCCTTGGTGCACAAGGTTGATCTGAACACTATGAAATTGGATCACCGAACGATTCCGGCAATTCACCCCATTTATGGAGATTTAATATATCTACATATTCGTCGTACATTTGTACTCTGCAACATGAGGACCAGAACTTTGAAAGAAGTATGTTCTCTCATCCCCTACTGCACGTATCCAGTGGTCTCTCCGTTTGTGCTCCCATTCTGGCCTACACCAGTTCCAGTTCCTCTACGCCAACGGAATGTCCTTCGGTAATACTTCTCTCTCCTAACTTTCTTTGTCTTGTTTCTTTTCAGTGAACTCCATTATTTAGTTGCATTGTTTGTAAAGTACTCGTCAGTGTTCATCTTTTCACTAATTTCTGTTATGTTATACTACAATGCCTTCGATGGATAACTTGAAATTGTTTATGTTATTTTCTCTGGGAAAATATAATTTAGAATTTTCTAGCCTATATACATTTGATGTTAAGATATAAATTATTAGAATACATGGATTTGGTTAATGATGTCATCAATGTGTGTATGTGTCCCAACAACTCCCACATCGCTTGTTTGGCAGGATTTTTATATAGTTACATAACAGAAACAAAAAATGATTAATATGAAACACGCGACAACATGACTAAAAATTGTTATCCTTTCTTACTATTGTAGCTTCATTCTTAATTCTGCACCTTTCTAGCAGTTTGTATTCGATATTAACAATTTCAAGTTTAAGCAATGCATATTTCCATGAACATAACATATCAAAATGAATCACGGAAAGTTCAGCATTATATACAAAATGATGCTGGAGAACAGATCCACTACGAAAGAAGGCACATCTACAGAAACTGCATCCATGTCAGAAACTAACAGCTCTTGTAAATTTCTGGACATGCGTAATGCATTAACATAATGGTTTTGGGGTAGTTGGATATCTCCGTAATACTCACACAAGCACAATTATATAGTCCAGCAAATTTGTGAAAATTCTAGAGGTCAATTGGTCATTAAGTACTTTTTTTTTTTTTTTTTTGGAAAGTAGTCATTAGTATATGATTTTATTTTATTTTTATATAGAAAATGATTCTTGCACCGAATAGTTGCAGTGAATTGCTAGACGTATTTTTTTAATTGGTCAATTATACAACAAATAAGAAAGTGGAGCCCTCCACTTAGTTGTATTTGGTATAAATAGCCAATTGGTTAGGTAATTCACTGCAAGTGTTCGGTGTGAGTATTACTACTCTTGTTATATTTGTTGGCATTACATTTTTAATTTTTTTTTTCCTCACATGATTCATTTTCACAAGTTCATTAGGAGCAAAATAAAACCATTATGCTCAAAGGTAAAATATTTAACTCACATGATCTATTTTTTCATTGTTGTCTGGTTTTTTTTTTTTTTTTTTTTTTTTTTTTTTTTTTTTTTTTTTTTTTTTATAACTTCCTCTTGAAGAATAGTTTATAGTAGACTTTGAAGGAGATTAATGAATCGTGTCTTGCATGAGTTGGTTGTCTTGCCAACAATGAAATCACCACTGGCTATATAGCGAGTTTGTGACTGATTTTTACTAAATAAAATTTTTCCTTTTCATTTTTTATATGAAACGAGGCAATATAGACTAGCAAAAAAAATAAAATAAATGATAGGGGTGATTGTAGTGTGAGGTTAAGAGCTTAAAACACCACTTGTTCTGATAGCATTCGCTATTTCTTCTTTAATTAAGTAATAGTCTGTATAAGATAGGTACCCATTACTAGAAGCATGCATATAGAGAACTTCAAAATATAATATGATATATATATATATATATATATATATATATATATATATATGTTCGTAATAATTTATACATTAAAATTTAGAACTAGAGAACAACTTTATAGTTTACGTTGTTTAATTTTTTTTGGACTATTTGTATATGTAGATAAATACAAAACATGTAATAGAGAATTTTAATTTAATTCTCTCTCTAAGATAAATACAAAAACACACACACACACACATATGAAACATATATGGACAAGCCCTTCACCTTCCCATACCTAAGAAAGAGTCATTGGTAGTACTTGGACTGATAGTAGTTCAAGAACAAAAGATTGAATAAAATTGATGAGCATGTCTTTCTTTTGAAATAGAAGTAATGATACGTGCAAGTGTGTTACAAACTAGATTGATATGAGATAGATTATTCTAATAAACTGTATTTGAAGATATTAAATTGAGAATAATTTCCTTTTTTTTTTTTAGCTAAGAACATATATTGAGTAATTGAAAATAAACATAAGCACGTCTCATTTTATTGATCTATTAGCATACTGACCTTAAGACTTGTATAATGCAGCTACCTGCTTAGATTTTGTACCATAGACAACGAGGTGGAGGAAGTGTCTGAAAATTTGAAAGTCATCTTGCGCTGAAGATTAAAGAACAATGTGAAGATTGACTTATTGATATGTTTTTGACAAATTTTGAAATTTCTTTTGCATTTTGACACATTGAAGAATGATGAATTGTTGAATTGTGAAATTGTCTTTTGATATGTTTAATGGTGTATTTAAATACGGATTGTTTTGGCTATTGACATCAAGTGAAAAGTGTTAGCTTTGTGTAGTACTATTTAGTTAAAATTGTGACCAATACAAGTTATGTGTGGATGATTGGATGGCATTAATTGAATATGTTTTTATTAAAAATATATATGTATATATATATATATATGTATATATATGTATGTTATCACGGGTCTTCACAACCCACGAATAAAAGCCTATATTAAACAATTCACATCACACAATTAGGCATCGTGAAATACATTATTTACAAAGAGAGAATCTCCACTGTAAAGCAACACGTAGCTTGCAGCGGTGTCTTGTAAAAGACCTTTTTTCTTGTAGTGTTGGAGAAAAAAGTTATATTAAGACTTCGCTTATTTCAACCTAAAATATATATATATTTTTAGGTAAAATATTTTCTTTTATTTTTATTAGAATTCATGAATTTGTCTAGGAAACTGAGATATTGTTCCTTGAGAGAGCTAAATTAAATGGAATTTATGTAACAAAATCCTAAAAGTCACACTTGCTCCACCTCGTTGTGAGGGAAAAGAACAAGCAGACCGGCATAAGCATCAGAGAATGATGCCTGACTTCACCACAGAAGCAACACCACAAACCCACTAACACCAGAACGGAAATCAGCGCCGGTACCACCAGCGACGGAATCACCAACCAGTCATAAACAAAACACATAACCAACAAAACTCCCAGTGCAAACAGAAACACCAAAATTGTCCCCGAAAGACGCAGAACACATATCAAAGTCGCATAACAACGAAAATAGCCAAGCCTAACACCAAAGAACAACAACAATCACCGGAATCAAACCACCGAACACAGATCAAACGAAGCAATCAGCTACACCACAAGCCCCAACTGGAAGAACAACAAGACAACCAAGAACCCAACGAGCACACCAGCGACATTGACGATACTACTAGTCATAATGATATAAGGTCGAATACCATGGCAGAGAGTCTCTACCAGAGACGATGGTGGTGCTTGGATCTCCTCCTCCCATAACACAAATCGTTCCAATCTTCATCACCTTCCTTCTCTTCTATCACTACAAAATCCCACTTTGATAAACTACTCGACGAACTATTTGTAAAAATTCTCTAAAAACTTCCTCTCAAACTCTTTCATCTCTGTAAGTGCGTTTCGAAACGCCTGTATGTTTTGATCTCCACTCCTCACTTTGCTCGATGCTATGTCCATAATTCCTCATCTTTGGTGCCTCCTTTTGCCCTCTTCTACCAGCGCAATGATCCACAATGTGCAGTCCAATCAACTGATCAACATCCGAATCACCCATTCTTGAATCTCGTGGGTTTTCTCTAAACTTCCTTCCCTTTCAAAACCCATCAACATCATCATCAGAAGAGCCAATTTGTTACTTAGCTTCCAGCAATGGCCTAGTGTTAGCCCCTTGACAGTTGTCCAAGGGAAGACATGGGCATTTCAAGGCCATGCCATGTCTTGGGAATACGTTGGCTTTGGTTAGACAGCTATAAGGATGCTCAGTGGGTTGTCAGCGTGCACAAGATGCTCAGCGTGCACACAGAATGCTTAAAAGGATGCTCGGCGTGCACTGGGGGTGCCCAGTGGCACTTTCGTAAATATGGTGAAAAATGAAACTTGGAGTTTTGACTCGGGATCTTTATGGGAGGTACCTTGAGTCCATAGAAGCTGGTTGGCGTAGACGGCACTCAATTTGGATGTTGGGAAAGGCCTAAAAGGCCATTATGACTCCTCAAGCATGGGTGATGTTTACTCCTGTCAAAGTGCTGGATTTCCTTAAGACTATACTAGGGGGGTCTGTTGAGCACATCGGTTGGGCTATGGCATGGCTTGCTTAGAGGGCTTAGCCAACGTGCATGGGCACGTGTTGCACCACTCCAAGATGGTTGCACAAGTGGGGAGCATCCAAGATATTGAAGGGCAAACAAGTGGGCACCGGTGCGCGTGCGGGCAAGCAGATGGGCGCGCGGGCAGGCGTCCAACCTAATGTGTGCGAGCGTCTAGCTCGGCGTGCGCATGGGCGTCCAGGTGGGTGTACAGCTACGGGCGCATGAGGGTTCAAACATGGCGCGCAAAGAAGGGCACTAGTGTGTGCGCCGGCGTGCACTTTGGTGTGCACCCGAGCGTGCACACGGGCGTGCATGGCTTGGCACGCCATGCACTCAGAGACATATATGTGTGGGTGCAGATTGGTGGACTTGGCTTGGGCTAGATTTACAAGGTTGACTCAAATGTGGCTAGAGCATGGACAACACAAAATCATGGCTTGCGGTTACAAGAGGTGGTGGCTTAGTGGGCTCGGTCGGTTGGGGGAAGTTACTAGCACTTCCCACTCATCATGGGAAGTGGGGGAATGCTGAGTAACCTCCCAAGCATGTGGCACAATTCTGAGAGGACCAACACACAGGCAGTTAAGGGTGGTTTCCTCCACTATGCAGAATGTAACTTCTTGTGGTTATGTGGCATGAGCAGAACATGCCAACAAGTCTAGCAGTTGGGCTTGTCAACTGCATTATAGTGCTGGCACATTTAGAGGGTGCCAACACGACCCTAGGTAGATGGGGGTGTCATCCATCATCTTAGTGGGCAGTTATGGGCGGTTTTGAGAGTGGCCTATATAATGCTAAGGTGGGCTTTGTAGAGGGGACAGAGAGGAGGGTGTGAGCCTTGGTTGTTCCTTGTACGAAC